TAAGTCTGTCAGAAAGAGATCGACCAGTTTCTCCAAAGTAATGAAGAGGACAGGAGAAGCAAGAAATAGAGTAGACACCAGGAACATCTGTAGAGGGAGGAGAGGTATGAACGAGATTAGTGTGAAGAGTGTTAGTCTGGCGGAAAGTAAGCTTGATGTCTAAGGGACGGAGATAATTGTTGAGATTAGAAAGACCGGAAATGTAGGGAAGGCAGAGGACAGAAGAGTTCCCAGGAGTAGAGAGTTTGGGAGAGAAGAAATTACGTTTAGCACGTGAGAGGGCAGAGTCTATGAAATGGGAAGGGTAGCCAAGACGAGAAAACGAATTATGAAGAGTGGAAATTTCTGCTGGAAGGAACTGAGGATCGCAGATGCGGAGGACACGGAGAAAGAGGGAGATAAGTACGCTTTTCTTGACAGGGGAAGCATGACAGGAAAAGTAGTGAATGTACATGCCACTGTGCATAGGTTTGCGGTAAACGGAAAGGGAAAAACCTGTATCTGAGCGGTGGACATGGACATCAAGGAAAGGAAGCAAGGAATTGGATTCCCATTCAGCTTTAATTAAACTTAATGGAAGTGCAAGATTGGAAGAGGCTGGAGTCATGAGGCCACAGAGCAAAGATGACATCCACATAGCGGAGCCAGAGTGAAGGGCATACATCGATGGTAGGAAGAAGAACAGTCTCGAAGTATTCCATGTAAAGATTAGCAAGGACAGGAGAGAGAGGAGAGCCCATAGCTACACCGAAGGTCTGTTACGTCAGAGATCAGAGCCATCCTATTGACTGGTCTTCTGCTAAAACTGTCTTCCCTACTTCCAACTTTAACAGTCGCCATCTGGTTGAATCCTCCCTAATACACAATTTTCCTTGTATGAATCTTAGTCCTGGCTTCGTCTCTGTAGATGCCTTCCTCTTTCACTACATTGTAAAATGCTCCAAATTTCAGAACACCCGTGACTTAACCTGATTCCTCCTTTTTCTTCTTCTCGCTCTTCCCCTTTCCTCTTTCCTTTTTTCTTTTTCTTTTCTCTTCTGGGTTGCCTTTCTTCTGTCTTGTGTTTCTGTTCCTTCATTATTTATTTCATTACTTCCCCTCCCTCCCACCTCTGTGTACTTGCTCTCCCTCTGTGGGCACCTAGCTCCCTTGCAGTGCTTCCCTTTCTTTGTATTTGACTGGCTCCTCCTCCTCCTTAATTCCCCACTACTACTACCACTACTACCACCACCACTACCTCTTCCTGCCTATATATACCCGTCCTGCTCCACTTCTTGTTAGTGTGACTTTGTAAATGGTCCAAGTCGGACCGAAATGCCATCGTAAGCTCCTCTCTTCTATGTGCGGGTTATTTGTGTTAAGTCAAACCCAATTTATACAGTCCACCTTTACTTTAAATATTAGTAACAGAATTATTGGTTATGTTTTTAAATTTAATTTTTGGTCCTGGATTGTGTGAGTGTGTGAGGGTTGTGGGTGTTGAAGGGAGACATTTTCCTTGTGACTGAGTGTCTCAAAAATTTCCCACATACCTCAGAGGTGCAACAAAATGTAAGTAATGTATATCTTAGTTGCCTTCTAATCAAAACACTTGTATTAACATTATAGTGAGGCTCATGCAGGTAATTTATTTCTCACAAATATTTTACCAGATTTCTGCTGTTAGTTATCAGAGATGTGGAGTAAGACTATTTCTCTGGTAAATTTTTTCTTGACCTGTGATCTACCCTGACACTATTTCTAACCTATAACTTTTCTAACTTATCTTTTATACTAATACTACTAATTATTTTTTTTATTATCACACTGGCCAATTCCCACCAAGGCAGGGTGGCTTAACTATTTTTTTCCTGTAATTTGCCTGTTACCTGTAATTTGCCTGTTACCTGTAATTTGCCTGTTACCTGTAATTTAACCTAGTTTATATCTATCTTTGCTATCTTATGTTTCCTGTCTTGTTTTGTGTATTTGTCCAATTTTTATATATGTGACTTATGCTAAATATGTTCATTATTTTGTGTCTTATAAGTGTGTTAAGTTTTACTGGGTGTTTAAGCTAGATCTCTTTTTTTTTTTGTTAGTGATATAATAATCTTTGAGGTTTGTAAGTGAATTATTTTGATATACCATTTTTATTGTTTTGATGAATAAGTACTAATGTTTTGTAAATTATGTTCCTCCCTTATTTCTTTTGTAAGATCTTTCATTTTTTTTTTTTTGTAATAGTACTTGTTTGTGTGTTTTGTGACTAAACCAGAAAATACTCTTATAGGTTTAGCAGCAACCAGGCACCCCTTGAAGAGATGCCTAAGAATTAGAAAAAAAAAAAAAACGGGCACCTCTGAAGAGATGCCTGGGCACACTGAGGAAGTGTTAGTGAGCTACTAGACACCATGACAACTCTAGTTCTGAAGGATCAGACCAGGCTTGTAATCTGGGAACCTGGAGATCCCTGTGGAAGCCTGAAGAAATGTCTAGGCCAGTGGATCAAGGAAAGTAACCAGACAGTATGTTAAGGTAAGGGAGTTCCTTGGAACCTAGGAGGAGTGGTAGATCTAATAACAGTTAAGAATGTTTTACTATAATACAGTGGACCCCCGGTTAACGATATTTTTTCACTCCAGAAGTATGCTCAGGTGCCAGTACTGACCGAATTTGTTCCCATAAGGAATATTGTAAATTAGATTAGTCCATTTCAGACCCCAAAACATACACGTACAAACGCACTTACATAAATATACTTACATAATTAGTCGCATTCGGAGGTGATCGTTATGCGGGGGTCCACTGTATTGTGAATGATTCTAATATTTAATATGTATTTGATGCTAGTAACTATTTTTTGTTGGTGCCAAACTTACAGCTTCCCTTGTAATGCATGATTGTTTATTAAATTGTAAGTTGTTTTATTCGGGTATGTTTTATTTTCCCCTTTCGAGCCATGTATTTAGGGTTTATTGATCAGAGATTAAGTTAAACAGTACATTGACATTTTTTACCCTTCTGGAGGGTCAAGCCCCTGGTAAGGTGCCTGCTGCTCAATTTTCAGGTCAAGCTACCCTAAGAGCCAGTACTAATCAGGATCAATACCTTATTATAGCTATCCTGTATTATCTCTCACAGGGTTTTTCCTGCTCTAACCCAAATTCCATATCTCCCCTTTATCCTGAAACTTAAGCTACTTTTATCTCTTCCACTGTTAAAACAGCAGATGGTGGCAGCATATTTCTGAGCGAATAGTGCTACCATTATTTCTCTCAAATTCTAGGAATTTCCCCTTTTTATTTGTTTCCCATATTCTCATACTTTTGTCCACTACAAGTCTCCACCTGAGGGAACAGACAATACAGCATCATTTGGTGATCTGCTGAACCTAGGGTGGGAATGCAGTTTCCACCCCAGGGTGGGAACTGCATTTCACTACCACATCTCTCATATGTGTGGAGTGTGAAGGCCTGTGACTGGTAAGGATAGAAAATTATTCCTCTATAGAGAAAGAGGGCAAAACATACTGAGAGAGCCTTCCTTTCATATTACCCTCTGCAATGATTGGTTTCACAGGGAACTCACACTGTCAAACTAAATAACCCACACCAGAGTTGTAGCTGAACAAAGTACTGTACCCTAAGTGAATTATACCAAAAATAAATTGTCAGTCTTGCATTCACTTTTAACATACTACTACTGCTGCTCACCCTCATAATAAGCCACTTCTCTACAGTGTATAGAAATATACCTAGTTGGATGAATCTTATTAGAGCCAGTTGGCCCAGCAGTTAACATACTGAGCCTGTGAGTTTTAGGATTCACTCGCCATGGGTTCAATCCCCACCCATTCCATTAGTTGATTCCTCTTGTACTTTTTACATACATGTATACATACATACATACAAAGTACTGAATAAAGTATTTTGTAAATATTGTGAAATCACAGGTTAAAAGGAAAGCAGAGTGTACCAACATACAGTTTGCTTTGAAGACATGTAAGTACAATGTAGTCTTATACATCTACAGGAGGACGAAGCTTCACAACGCTTCACTTTACTTCATTTCACTAATGCAGCAGCAGCTTTCAGTTACGCCCAGTCTTCATTCATTCCAGCTTCCTACACTAAATATATTCATCACTCACTCTAAGCTAAGTATGAAAATATCTGAAGGTATGTAATATGCTATAGGTAGTAGGTTGGTAGGCAGCAACCGCCCAGGGAGGTACTACCGTCCAGCCAAGTGTAAAACGGAAACCTGTAATTGTTTTACATGATGGTAGGATTGCTGGTGTCTTTTTTCTGTCTCATAAACATGCAAGATTTCAGGTATGTCTTGCTACTTCTTCTTACACTTAGGTCACACTACACATACATGTACAAGCATATATATACATATCCCTCTGGGTTTTCTTCTGTTTTCTTTCTAGTTCTTGTTCTTGTTTATTTCCTCTTATCTTCATGGGGAAGTGGAACAGAATTCTTCCTCTGAAAGCCATGCGTGTTTTAAGAGGCAACTAAAATGCCGGGAGCAAGGGGCTAGTAACCCCTTCTCCTGTATAAATTACTAAATTTAAAAGGAAAAATTTTTGTTTTTCCTTTTGGGCCACCCCGCCTCAGTGGGATACAACTGGTACGTTGAAAGAAGAAGGAGTAATATGTGTACTGTATATGATTTTTTTAGGCCTAGCTCTGTTAATCACTCAATATATGTTAGTGTAAATATATTATCAGGCTTTTATATGCATTTGAAAATGAAGAGGTTATGTTCCACTTTACTGAAGTTTTTGCTTTTCAGCAGTAGCCCAGAACCTAACCTGCTTTATAAGCAGGGCCTGCTTCAACTGCTAGAGGTTATGAACACCAGTCTTTAAGTAAACTGAATACACTCAGTCAAGACTGTATTCTAATCCCTAAAATAGGGATTAAAGGAAAATTTTTACCATATATACACTGAGAGACATACACCTCTCTGAATGTACACCCTGCCAACAAGAACAAAGTTACACTTACAAAGCACATTAATTCTCAACACTATTACTTTGGAAGGTCGATTACTATTAGCCACGGCCTTGCAGGTATAGTTGCCTTCCAGATCCATTGTTACTTCGTCTTTTTTAATATAATTCCACTTGGATAAACTGGTTTCATTTGCAAGGATATTCAAATCTGAAAAACATGAAAAATGTCATTAATCACTTAAATATCTTTAACTAAATTTTTATAATGTTTAACATGAAATCAAATTATTTAATTCTCCTCTGAGTAGTAGACTGGTAGGCAGCAACCATTCGGGGAGGTACTACCGTCCTACCTTGTGAGTGTAAAAAGGAAGCCTGTACTTGTTTTACACGATGGTAGGATTGCTGATGTCTTTTTTCTGTCTCAAAAACATGCAAGATTGCAGATATGTCTTGCTACTTCTACTTACACTTAGGTCACACTACACATACATGTACACGTTTATGCATACACACTCATCTGAGTTTTCTTTGAATTTTTTATTTATTTATTTATTTATTAATTTGAACATGATACATTGAAGCACAAAAAAAATACAGTGGTTAAGTGTAACATGCCAAAGTCCCTTGTATGAGGAGCATTATGGGCAGGCTTAAAATTAACTTAAAATTAACTAAGCAATGATATATTCAGTGGTAAACATTACTGTAAACAGATAACAATTAAGCACAAATGAGTATTTCAAGGACAGTTCATATGGTCATTTACTGTGTTGCTGAGCATTCAGTAGAATGGAGTATTCTGTTAGGTAATGTAATTAAAAATAACAAAGTTTAATTGGGTCACAGGTTAAGCATTTATGAGACACAATTATTCAGTATTTATTTAGTTGTGGGTGATTTTTAAGTAGAGACTTGAATTTATAAACTGTTGTATTCTGGGCACCTCTGCAAAAACAGTGATTATGTGTGAGTGAGGTGAAAGTGTTGAATAATGATTAAAAGTATTTTCTTTTTGGGGATTTTCTTTCTTTTTGGGTCACCCTGCCTCGGTGGGAGACGGCCGACTTGTTGAAAAAAAAAAAATTAAGACTAGAAGGACACTCTTAGTGAACGAGTAACAAAGGCATGTTATATGCTATTTAATGTGTTTCTTATACAGTAGTATAATTTTGAAGAAAATATCATAGATAAATATCATAGATAAATGAAAAGGTAGTAGGTTGGTAGACAGCAACCACCCAGGGAGGTACTACCGTCCTGCCAAGTGAGTGTAAAACGAAAGCCTGTAATTGTTTACATGATGGTAGGATTGCTGGTGTCTTTTGTCTGTCTCATAAATATGCAAGATTACAGGTACGTCTTGCTACTTCTACTTACAATTAGGTCACACTACACATACATGTACACGTTTATTTATACACACTCATCTGAGTTTTCTTTGATTTTATCTTAATAGTTCTTGGTCTTATTACTTTTCCTTTTATATCCAGGGGGAAGTGGAATAAGAATCTTTCCTCCGTAAGCCATGCGTGTTGTAAAAGTCAACTAAAATGCCGGGAACAATGGGCTAGTAACCCCTTTTCCTGTAAAGATTACTAAAAAGAATAAGAAGAAGAAAATTGTCAAAGTGGGAAGTCTGAATGTGCGTGGATGTTGTGCAAATGATAAGAAAGAGATGATTGTGGATGTTATGAATGAGAAGAAACTGGATGTCCTGGCTTTAAGTGAAACAAAGCTGAAGGGGGTGGGAGAGTTTCAATGGAGAGGAATAAATGGGATTAGGTCAGGGGTTTCAAATAGAGTTAGAGCTAAAGAAGGAGTAGCAATAATGTTGAAGGATAAGCTATGGCAGGAAAAGAGGGACTACAAATGTATAAATTCAAGGATTATGTGGAGTAAAATAAAGATTGGATGTGAAAAGTGGGTTATAGTAAGCGTGTATGCACCTGGAGAAGAGAGAAGTGTAGAGGAGAGAGAGAGAGTCTGGGAAATGTTGAGTGAATGCGTGGGGAGTTTTGAATCAAGTGTGAGAGTAATGGTGGTTGGGGATTTCAATGCTAAAGTGGGTAAAAATGTTATGGAGGGAGTAGTAGGTAATTTTGGGGTGCCAGGGGTAAATGTAAATAGGGAGCCTTTAATTGAGCTATGTGTAGAAAGAAATTTGGTAATAAGTAATACATATTTTATGAAAAAGAGGATAAATAAATATACAAGGTATGATGTAGCACGTAATGAAAGTAGTTTATTAGATTATGTATTGGTGGAAAAAAAGGTTGATGGGTAGGCTCCAGGATGTACATGTTTATAGAGGGGCAACTGATATCGGATCATTATTTAGTTGTAGCTACAGTTAGAGTAAGAGGTAGATGGGAAAAGAGGAAGGTGGCAACAACAAGTAAGAGGGAGGTGAAAGTGTATAAACTAAGGGAGGAGGAAGTTCGGGCGAGATATAAGCGACTATTGGCAGAAAGGTGGGCTAGTGCAAAGATGAGTAGTGGGGGGGTTGAAGAGGGTTGGAATAGTTTTTAAAAATGCAGTATTAGAATGTGGGGCAGAAGTTTGTGGTTATAGGAGGGTGGGGTGGGGGCAGGAGGAAAGAGGAGTGATTGGTGGAATGATGAAGTAAAGGGTGTGATAAAAGAGAAAAAGGTAGCTTACGAGAGGTTTTTACAAAGCAGAAGTGTTATAAGAAGAGCAGAGTATATGGAGAGTAAAAGAAAGGTGAAGAGAGTGGTGAGAGAGTGCAAAAGGAGAGCAGATGAAAGAGTGGGAGAGGCACTGTCAAGAAATTTTAATGAAAATAAGAAAAAATTTTGGAGTGAGTTAAACAAGTTAAGAAAGCCTAGGGAAAGTATGGATTTGTCAGTTAAAAACAGAGTAGGGGAGTTAGTAGATGGGGAGAGGGAGGTATTAGGTAGATGGCGAGAATATTTTGAGGAACTTTTAAATGTTAAGGAAGAAAGGGAGGCGGTAATTTCATGCACTGGCCAGGGAGGTATACCATCTTTTAGGAGTGAAGAAGAGCAGAATGTAAGTGTGGTGGAGGTACGTGAGGCATTACATAGAATGAAAGGGGGTAAAGCAGCTGGAACTGATGGGATCATGACAGAAATGTTAAAAGCAGGGGGGGATATAGTGTTGGAGTGGTTGGTACTTTTGTTTAATAAATGTATGAAAGAGGGGAAGGTACCTAGGGATTGGCGGAGAGCATGTATAGTCCCTTTATATAAAGGGAAAGGGGACAAAAGAGATTGTAAAAATTATAGAGGAATAAGTTTACTGAGTATACCAGGAAAAGTATACGGTAGGGTTATAATTGAAAGAATTAGAGGTAAGACAGAATGTAGAATTGCGGACGAGCAAGGAGGCTTCAGAGTGGGTAGGGGATGTGTAGATCAAGTGTTTACATTGAAGCATATATGTGAACAGTATTTAGATAAAGGTAGGGAAGTTTTTATTGCATTTATGGATTTAGAAAAGGCATATGATAGAGTGGATAGAGGAGCAATGTGGCAGATGTTGCAAGTATATGGAATAGGTGGTAAGTTATTAAATGCTGTAAAGAGTTTTTATGAGGATAGTGAGGCTCAGGTTAGGGTGTGTAGAAGAGAGGGAGAATACTTCCCGGTAAAAGTAGGTCTTAGACAGGGATGTGTAATGTCACCATGGTTGTTTAATATATTTATAGATGGGGTTGTAAAAGAAGTAAATGCTAGGGTGTTCGGGAGAGGGGTGGGATTAAATTATGGGGAATCAAATTCAAAATGGGAATTGACACAGTTACTTTTTGCTGATGATACTGTGCTTATGGGAGATTCTAAAGAAAAATTACAAAGGTTAGTGGATGAGTTTGGGAATGTGTGTAAAGGTAGAAAGTTGAAAGTGAACACAGAAAAGAGTAAGGTGATGAGGGTATCAAATGATTTAGATAAAGAAAAATTGGATATCAAATTGGGGAGGAGGAGTATGGAAGAAGTGAATGTTTTCAGATACTTGGGAGTTGACGTGTCGGCGGATGGATTTATGAAGGATGAGGTTAATCATAGAATTGATGAGGGAAAAAAGGTGAGTGGTGCATTGAGGTATATGTGGAGTCAAAAACGTTATCAATGGAGGCAAAGAAGGGAATGTATGAAAGTATAGTAGTACCAACACTCTTATATGGATGTGAAGCTTGGGTGGTAAATGCAGCAGCGAGGAGACGGTTGGAGGCAGTGGAGATGTCCTGTCTAAGGGCAATGTGTGGTGTAAATATTATGCAGAAAATTCGGAGTGTGGAAATTAGGAGAAGGTGTGGAGTTAATAAAAGCATTAGTCAGAGGGCAGAAGAGGGGTTGTTGAGGTGGTTTGGTCATTTAGAGAGAATGGATCAAAGTAGAATGACATGGAAAGCATATAAATCTATAGGGGAAGGAAAGAGGGGTAGGGGTCGTCCCCGAAAGGGTTGGAAAGAGGGGGTAAAGGAGGTTTTGTGGGTGAGGGGCTTGGACTTCCAGCAAGCGTGCATGAGCGTGTTAGATAGGAGTGAATGGAGACGAATGATACTTGGGACCTGACGATCTGTTGGAGTGTGAGCAGGGTAATATTTAGTGAAGGGATTCAGGGAAACCGGTTATTTTTATATAGTCGGACTTGAGTCCTGGAAATGGGAAGTACAATGCCTGCACTTTAAAGGAGGGGTTTGGGATATTGGCAGTTTGGAGGGATATGTTGTGTATCTCTATACGTATATGCTTCTAAACTGTTGTATTCTGAGCACCTCTGCAAAAGCAGTGATAATGTGTGAGTGTGGTGAAAGTGTTGAATGATGATGAAAGTATTTTCTTTTTGGGGATTTTCTTTCTTTTTTTTTTTGGGTCACCCTGCCTCGGTGGGAGACGGCCGACTTGTTGAAAAAAAAAAAAAAAAGTCTATATTAACCTAAAATAAGACATTTAATGTGCCCAAGAGTTAGTCACAAACGTATGAGCAGCCCAGGCACACGTGTCTGGTACCAATGATTTCCGAGCGGATGTATGAAACCCAGGGAGAAATTTCGCCAAAAAGAGTGCTTGAAATCCAAATTGTACGATTTCTGCACCGGCTGAAAACCAGGGGTCCTCTGCATATGCAAAACCGCTAAACATAATTTAAAGTGAAATCTCTTTTGTAGAAGGTAGAAACAAATTGTATTATGTAGAGGTAAAATCTAAATTCTAGAACCACAACAGTTCAGAATGATTAATCTAACTGTTATGACAAACAGGCTAATGTCTCATCCAGGTTCAGTCCAAACATTATCCCTGAAACAAAGATCCTGGAATTTCAAAACTTATCATTTTAACAATAGGACAATAACAGGATACAGTTAGCAATATATAAGGTTGCTGAATACCAATAATACACTACCCACTAGTAGCTGCCAGTCTGAATATTATACAAAATAAATACATCATTTTTTAAATCCTTTCACTATGTATTATTTGGCTACAGTCTTGCATAAGGCATAAAACATGATCCAGAGGACAGACATGAACCTGCCAATGAAAGGTTTGTAGTGGCAATCTGCTCAAAATGTGCCATAAAACAATGGAATAAGCTAAGCTCTCACCAGCTCAGCAATGACAGTTAATTCAACTATCAGAAAGGTTCACTAATTATGTATGATGAAAGCACTGAGTTAAAGGGTTGTAAAACTGTATGTATAATTATTCTTAAATGCTGTACTGTACATGGAAGTAACTGCAAAGGTCATGGTCATCATTCCACCTGAACAGACAATGAATTTCACATGTTAGTTTATTTTTAATTTAATAACGTGAATATCTTAGAAGGATGACTTAATAAAGAATTTATTTAAGCTGAGGGAGAAACAGAGAGGGAAAGTGGAAAGTATAACACCATTTTTTGTATAATAAGATGAGAAGTAAGATTTATAATAAGAAGCAAGTTTGTGTGTCCAAGTTTTTAATTCATGTGTTTAGGTTAAGTTTGTGTGTTTAGGTTAAGTTTATGTGTTTCAGTTCATGTGTCTAAGTTGTGCCCGGTAGGGTGTGGAAGAAGTATCCCTCTCCCACAAGGGAGGATTATCTACTCCAAGAAGATATAAACCAAGTTTTCCAATGGGCAATGGAAAACATTATGATGTTCAATGAGGACAAATTCCAACTACATGTACTCCCTTATGGAAAACTAGACCAGAGTATACTACAAACTCTGATCATACAATAGAGCAGAAAAATGTGAGGGACCTGGGAGTGGTAATGTCTGAGTATCTCACTTTCAAGGATCACAACAGTGCCATGATCACAACTGCAAAGAAAATGATGAGATGGATAATGAGAACGTTCAAAACAAGAGATACCAAGCCAATGATGATCCTTTTCAAATCACTTCTCTCTAGGCTGGAATACTGCTGTACATTAACATCTCTTTTCAAAGCAGGTGAAATTGTAGATCTAGAGAGTGTACAGAGAACCTTCACTGCACATATAAGTTCCATCAAACACCTCAACTACTGGGAACACTTGGAAGCACTTGACTTGTACTCGTTGGAACGCAGGCAAGAGAGATATATCATATTCTACACTAGGAAAATCCTAGAAGGAATGGTCCTGAATCTGCACACAGAAATCACTCCCTACGAAAGTAAAAGAATGGGCAGGTGATGCAAAATACCCCCAATGAAAAGTAGGGGTGCCATTGGTACACTAAGAGAAAACACCATAAGTGTCCAGGGCCCAAGACTGTTCGACAGCCTTCCACCAAGCATAAGGGGAATTACCAATAGGCCCCTGGCTGCCTTGAAGAGGGAGCTGGACAGATACTTAAAGTTGGTGCCTGATCAGCAGGGCTGTGGTTCGTACGTTAGACTACGTGTGGCCAGCAGTAACTGCCTGGTTGATCAGGCCCTGATCCACCGGAAGGCCTGGTCGTGGACCGAGATGCAGGGGTGTTGATCCCCGGAATACCCTCCAAGTAGACTCTCTCATAAAGGAGGAATATCTACTCTCCCACAAGAAAGAGAGGATTATATACTCTCCCACAAGGAAAGAACATCTATTCTTCACAGGGAAGGAATATCTACTCTCCCACAAGGAATATCTACTATTCCACAAGGAAGGAATATCTACTCTCCCACAATGAAGGAATATCTACTCTCCCACAAGGAAGGAATATCTGTTCTTCCACAGAGAAGGAATATCTACTCTCCCATAAGGGAGGGACTATGTGCCCTTCCACAAGGGAGGGACTATGGGCCCTCCCACAAGGGAGAGACTATGGGCCCTCCCACAAGGGAGAGACTATGGGCCATCCCACAAGGGAGAGACTATGGACCCTCCCACATGGGAGAGACTATGGATCCTCCCACAAGGGAGAGACTATGGGCCCTCCCACAAGGGCGAGACTATGGGCCCTTCCACAAGGGAGAGACTATGGGCCCTCCCACAAGGGAGAGACAATGGGCCATCCCACAAGGGAGAGACTATGGGCCCTCCCACAAAGGAGAAAGTAGGGGCCCTCCCACAGGGAGATACCACTGCTGGAGATACCACTGCTGGAAATACCACTGCTGGAGATACCACTGCTGGAGATACCACTGCTGGAGATACCACTGCTGGAGATACCGCTGCTGGAGATACCACTGCTGGAGATACCACTGCTGGAGATACCACTGCTGGAGATACCACTGCTGGAGATACCACTGCTGGAGATACCACTGCCTGATGTTGATCTGTATGTAAACGTGGCCTCGGAAATTGCCACACTCACATACATCCTCATTAGCAATGCTCGACAAAATTTACATAGCTCTAACCTCTGGATCGTTTCCTCTGTTTATTAGTTATGCTTCCAGGCTTTACAAAAAAATTTTATTCCCACCAAAAAATAGAAGATTTACTGCTATGCAATATTGTAATAACTGTATAAATAATATCAGCACATTTGTGAATGCATTTGTTCACTCTTGAACATCGCCAAAAATCGAACATTTCTGCTAATTTGAGCACAGTTTCAAGCCATTTTCAGTAATAAAACCAATCAAAATCATTTCAATTTCTGTAATATATCTTCCACTCTATGAAATGAGACCAAGAAACTGCGAATACAACTGTAAAAAACATACGAAAAAATACTGCAAAGTTACTGCTTTATTCCAAAAATACGGATGCAGTTTTTTTTTCTCATTACGCACTGCGTGCTGCAGGATTTGTTTTATGTGGTGCACACTTACACATAGATGTATTCTCTCATATTTAGGGCCAAATGTACCACTCACAGCTTATCTGATGAGCTCACTCATATAAGCTGTGCGTAAAACTAAAGCTAGGACCCTGGCTTCAAAGCCATAGAACTATGGGACAGACCCTCAAAGGGTTAATTTCCTTTATTTTCATACCCTTCCAAACTTGTTCACCAACCTCTGCAATTTCTCATCTGACTCTCCCAAAAGTACAGCATCATCAGCAAAAAGCAACTGTGACAGCTCCCACTTTGTTTTAGATTCTTTATCTCTTAATTCCACACCTCTTGCCAACACCCTGGCATTCACTTCTCTTAGAACCCCATCTATAAATATGCTGAATCATGGTGATGTCATGCATCCCTGTCTAAGGCCTACTTTTACTGGGAAATAATCTCCCTCTCTCCTACATACTCTAATCTGAGCCTCACTATCCTCATAAAAACTTTTAACTGATTTCAGAAACTTACCACCTATTCCATACACTTGCAACATCTGCCACATTGCTCCCCTATCCACCCTATCATATGCCTTTTCCAAATCCACAAATGCAACAAAAACCTCTTTACACTTATCACTGTAAACACTTGGTCTACACACCCCCTACCTTTCCTAAAGCCTCCTTGTTCATCTGGGACCCTGCTTTCCATCTTCCTCTTAATTCTCTCAATAATTGCACATAGGGGTCATACCATGCAACATCTGTAGAAAATGGGAGGTAATCATACATGATTCGAGGAAGGGTCACTAATTCCTTGACTGAAGAGCCCTTCAGTAGGATCAGGCTTCTTCCTTGAAGGGTAGTTATAACATAAAAAAAAAAAAAACAATGATGGTACATACCATTGAGGATGTTTGTGGCTGCAGAGTGTGAAAGTTGAACTTTACTGTAGCTAAACTTGCTGGCTCCGCACATCAAATAGAAGTCATCGTTAACAATAACAGTGAGAGTTTTGTTTTGGTACACCTGACTTATTTTGTTCTGTACTGTATATTTAAAAACATAATTGCCACCAATATCTGAAATCAAGGCATCTTTTTAGTATTTTTTTATTGATATGATTTTTATTATTATTATTAGAGCCTCTCCTCACTTAACAACGGAGTTCCATTCTTAGCTAAGACCACGTGGGTAAACAAATTCGTCACTAAGTGAGGAGCATCATACTATAATGATAGTGGATTTGTGTCAACTATCTTTGATGCTGTTTCAATGTCACCTTTGCACCATTTATAACATTTCTGGAATATTTTTAAATATTTATACAGTAGTGTACTGTATATTGTAATAAACAGAATAGAGGAATTCAGCTCTAATATGCATTATTTAGGCATGCATAATGGTCAGAGAGCCCGTCATAAATCCAAGGCGTCAGTAAACGAGTACATCACTAAGTGAGGAGAGTCTGTACTCACTTTAAACTGTACTACTCTTTAATCTCTCCTTCCTTTTCTTATTGTACATGTGCATGGGGATGTATAGCAGCACTATGACTTCACTGTCTAAAATCCTACCATACCTGTGTCTGGCATCTGACACAAGCATGCTACAATTTATACTTAATGAGTTTAGAGCATTTATAGATCATAGAAAATCAGTTACAATTAAAGTGTCAACCTTCGATAAATGGACACATTTGAGTGCAAGGAGTATGGCAAACAGTTCTGTTTGAAGGGTAGAGGCCCAGTCATTGATGCATGCTCCAATTTCTTTATGAGAGTCATCACTCTGTATGACAACAGCAGCATTACCAGCTGCACCAGTGGATTGGTGAGCAGAACCATCAACATAAATAATTTGTGTAAGAGTGTGCTGTATGACTAAATTATCAATACAGCTAAAGGAATCCTGTTTGGCTTCAAGGCAAATCTTTGGTTGTCATTTAAGAATTTTTTTTGGGTGGAAATGATGGGATGGTAGTTTGGAATGGAGTAATATCCCATGGAGCAGGGAAGTGCTGCTGTTGCCTTACTTGACATAGACCATGTATCTGGTTCATGCTGAGGTCAGTTCCAGTTTTTTTGATCAATTTGGAGGGATGTTCACCAGTGCTGAAGAAAGTTTGGAGGGCATCGATGCAAGAGTTTGAATGGACTTTCCCAAGCACAGTGACTTCAATGAGGACATTTCTTTCAGTAACATGATCTCTGATGCTTAGAATATCAAGTTCTTTCTGCATATTTAAAATTTTGGCAGTACAAGGGCATCCTAGGATGATCCTCATTGCTTCATTCAGCAATTTTTCCAGCCCTTCAAGCTTCCAGTCAGATGCAAGAGCAAGTAGTGGCGCAGCATAATCAACCAATGATCTAATATAAGCAAAATACATTATTTTCACAATTTTAAATTAGCACCATACCTGGAATAAAAGCCTGCCACAGCTCTAAGTGCTCTCAGCCTTTCTTTGTATTGGCGACAAAGTCTCGTTACAACAAGTCCAAGTAATGAGACCTCAAAGCCTAGATACGTGTATCTGGTTACATATTCAAGTCATGACCCATCATGCAATTGGATCTGGCAAACTGTGCCTCTCTGTCGAGGAGAACACCTGTTGAGTATCTTTGTTTTCTCAGTAGAGATTATCAACCCCAGGTCCTGACATGAGGCTAGTACATGGTTGAGGATCAACACTTACAAATACTATATGCATCTTTGATATTCTGAATATTCAACTCAGCTTGAGTAAAGTTCTGTGCAAATAAAAGGACCAAAAATATGTAACTCTTTATCAGGAGATTCCAAATGTTCCTTATCTGCCAACTGCTTCAGCAATATTGTTAAAAACACACCCTACAAACTTTGTGTAATTTTTGAAAGATTGAATATAAGTGTTGTGCTCATTGGATTTGTAACCTACAAATCCAATGAGCACAACACCATTAAAAGCTATGAGGCAGAACCCATAGCTGATCACCCACCTTACTTTTCTCTACTCCCTGCAAACTCAAATAGGTATCCTGTAGTATATGGTACCTTCCTTGTTCCCCAGGCACACACATTTTCTGCAGCCAATCTAAAAATCTGTCACCATTTCATCATCTTTAATGAATCTCTGCATTAATATTATTTAAGAGATTCAGTAATTCTCATGAAAATTAAACACTCTTAGAAAAAGTGTAAAGCAGCTTATAAAAGAACTGTATCGGCTAGTTCTTAATTTATTAACTGGAAGAATTTAAAAAAAAATTATTTAAATATAAGTAATTTTTAGTTACTAAAAGTATTATCCAGAGGGCTGAGGAGGTGGTTTGGAAATTAAGAGAAAATGAAGCATAAGATGACTAAGGGGATATAAATCAGTAATGGAGGAAAGGCAGGCATTGGGTTCAAGGGACTTGGATATCCAGCAGGTGTATGTATGTTAGATAGGAGTGAGAGGAGGCAAATGGTTTTTTGGGACTTGATGAGCTGATGGAATGTGAGGAAGGTAACATTTTCCAAAGGGATTCAGGGAAACTGGTTAGTTGCACTTGAGTCCTAAAGGTGGAAAATACAGTGCCTGCACTCTGAAGGAGGGCTGGGGATATTTGCAGTTAGGAGGAGCATCTGAGCTGTAGTATCAGCACACTCAGGCAAGAAAGTGATGGAGTGAGTGATGGTGAAAGTGTTTCTTTTTTGTACTGCCCTACCTCAGTGGGAGATGGCCAGTGTGTTATAAAAATATGATTTCACTTTGCCCTTATGCAAAATATAACATATACTGTATAACAGATATATTAAAGTACTGTATTATCTTAAAAACAGAACCAACATTTGGTGAGAGAGTTATGGCAAGAGACAAGGAGAGCTGCAGTAATAGGCTCAGTGTGTAACTAAGGCAGAATATTATGTTCCCCTTGAAGTGCAATGAAAGATATTTTAACCAGGTTTAAAAAATTGCTTAAATTATAATAGTAAAATAAAATTATTATATTTTAACACACTAGCCATCTCCCACTGAGGTAGTGTGATCCATAAAAAAAGAAGGAAACACATTCAGTCATTCATTCAATCACTCTTGCCAGAAGCATGCTGACATCACAGTTGTGATTACCTGCTGAACTGCAACATTCTCACCCCTTCCTTTAGAGTGCAGGTACTCTACTTCAGACCTCCAGGACTTGAGTCTGGCCAACCAGTTTCCCAAATCGCTTCATAAATGTTACCTTGCTCACACTCCAATAAAATTATAATTTTATTAAAAAAAAAATGGTAAAGTTTAGTGAGAGAAGTTTACAAACATCTAAAGACTGCTAGGGAAGTTAGTAAAATATAAAATTTTGGATTTAGTGAGAGTTGCTGTTAAACAATATCTGACACAGCAATGGGAATTTATTCATACCATTAACATAGACAATACTCTATCACTGTACTTAAGAATTTTATGCACTATACAGTAGAATCCTTGTATCCACGGATTCGGTTTCTGTGGTTTTAGTTTACTGTGACCCAAAAATATGCCTTAATTTTGTTTAATGATGGCTCCAAAGAACAAAAGTAGTGATGGTGGTAGTTCTACAAAGCCTTAGAGAAGCCGTGAAGTGCTTCCCATCAGTGAAAAACTAACAGTTCTCCACTTATTGTGCATAATTTATCAATTAAACTTTTTCAAAGGTATGACTGTAAACGGAAAACGCATTGTATATGGTTTGCTACTATCCACAGTTTCAGGTATTCACAGTAGGTCTTGGAATGTATCGCCCACAGCTACAGGGGGACTACAGTACTATATTTCACAATGCATAATCATACTGCCAATTCCAAATGCAGCAAATAAATAACATTGTACTGTATATACTTACCACTCATGATTACGTCAACAGTTGCATTTTTTGATCCATACAAATTTTTCATATCACAGAGCAAAATTCCAGACTGGTGAGGACGGTAAGCAATTGAAAATGTTATGCGGTTACCAGGAGCAGAAGTGGAATTCCCACGGTCTTCATACTGAAAGTTGAAGATACAATTATACCATTATTATAAAAGACACTTTTAATATTCACTTTAATTATCCAAATAGTCTTCAAACTTGCATTAGTTTTAATTTTCATTACTTTACTAATGCTGCACATTTATTATAATATTTTATTTTTTCAACGTCCCGGCCGTCTCCCATCGAGGTAGGGTGACCTAAAATGAAAAACTAAAGTTTTCCTTTTTATATTTAATAATTTATACAGAAGGGGTTACTAGCCCCTTGGTCCTGACATTTTACTCGCCTCTTACAACACACACGGCTTACAGAGGAAGAATTCTTTTCCACTTCCCCATGGAGATTAAATAATATCAGTATGTAATCATTATTAATTCTCCATGGGGAAATGGAAAAGAATCCTTCCTCTGTAAGCCATACATGTCAAAAGAGGAGACTAAAATGTCAGGGGAGGAGGTACAGTGGAACCTCGGTACTCGAACTTAATATATTCCTGAAGGCCGTTCGAGTGCCGATCCGTTCGAGTATCGAACAAATTCTTCCCAACCAATTTTCTTTTTGGTTGGCTATTATCACTAGTCTTCGTAGGCCCCATGGTGACTTATTTATACAAATAATATAAAAAAATGTGAAGAAACACGAAACAGTTAGAGCAAAGTTCTGGCAGGTCGTGTTTATTTGGTCAAGTGCTGAGCTTTGTTCGAGTAGGGAGCTGTTCGAGTACTGAGGTTCCACTGTATTGCCATCTATTACTCTAATGAACTTATTATTATTTTTTTTTTATTATCACACTGGCCGATTCCCACCAAGGCAGGGTGGCCCGAAAAAGAAAAACTTTCACCATCATTCACTCCATCACTGTCTTGCCAGAAGGGTGCTTTACACTACAGTTTTTAAACTGCAACATTAACACCCCTCCTTCAGAGTGCAGGCACTGTACTTCCCATCTCCAGGACTCAAATCCGGCCTGCCGGTTTCCCTGAACCCCTTCATAAATGTTACTTTGCTCACACTCCAACAGCACGTCAAGTATTAAAAAATATTTGTCTCCATTCACTCCTATCAAACACGCTCACTGCATGCCTGCTGGAAGTCCAAGCCCCTCGCACACAAAACCTCCTTTACCCCCTCTCTCCAACCTTTCCTCGGCCGACCCCTACCCCGCCTTCCTTCCACTACAGACTGATACACTCTTGAAGTCATTCTGTTTCGCTCCATTCTCTCTACATGTCCGAACCACCTCAACAACCCTTCCTCAGCCCTCTGGACAACAGTTTTGGTAATCCCGCACCTCCTCCTAACTTCCAAACTATGAATTCTCTGCATTATATTCACACCACACATTGCCTCAGACATGACATCTCCACTGCCTCCAGCCTTCTTCTCGCTGCAACATTCATCACCCATGCTTCACACCCATATAAGAGCGTTGGTAAAACTATACTCTCATACATTCCCCTCTTTGCCTCCAAGGACAAAGTTCTTTGTCTCCACAGACTCCTAAGTGCACCACTCACTCTTTTCCCCTCATCAATTCTATGATTCACCTCATCTTTCATAGACCCATCCGCTGACACGTCCACTCCCAAATATCTGAATACATTCACCTCCTCCATACTCTCTCCCTCCTATCATGTATTAATACCACTTGCTATAGTGATGAATATGGAAAAAATATTTTTGCAAATTTTACTGTAAAAAAACTTAAGACTCCTATAACAATCGGTGCCATATACCGGATGCCTCATGCAAACATCCTAAATTTTAGTGATAGATTAAAAACACTAATAACAAGCAACCAAGTGAACAAGCACCACCTTTTCTAGCCAGAGACTTCAACATTGTCAGTGACACTAATTATGCCTGTGGCTCAGCATATTTACAAGTCCACCCCCACACAACACTACAAGCTTTACAGAAGCTGTAACAGTTCTGGGTAGTGTTCAGTGACTTTATATGAGTATATATGTGATAGAAAAATAGTAATAAACATTCTTTAGTGTTGGTTTGTGTAAACATGTTTTGTAAACAATATAATGACTGTTTGTACGGTTATTGTGTAGCATACAACGAGTGAATATACATTCAATATACCTCACATTAGTCTCACAGGCCAAAAAATTACTTGAATGAAGAAAGAAAGGAAGGAAGAAGTCATGGACCCGGGAGGCCTGGTCATGGACCGGGCCGCGGGGGCATTGATCCCCGGAATAACCTCCAGGTAACCTCCAGGTAAGTAAGTAAGTAAGTAAGTAAGTAAGTAAGTAAGTAAGTAAGTAAGTAAGTAAGTAAGTAAGTAAGTAAGGAAGGAAGGAAGGAAGGTAGGTAGGTAGGTAGGTAGGTAGGTAGGTAGGTAGGTAGGTAGGTAAGAAGAGATGAGAGGATGGAAGGAAGGAAGGTAGGTAGGTAGGTAGGTAAGAAGAGATGAGAGGATGGAAGGAAGGAAGGAAAGAAGGAAGGTAGGTTTGTGGGGAGGAAGGGATGTATTGTGGAAGGCAGTGAGGGTTAGTGAGTGGTGGTATGATGCATCATTGTGACACAAGACACACTGGTGACTCAGCATATTTACAAGTCCACCCCCATACAACCACAAGCTTTCAGAACCTCTTATAGTTATGGGAACCTGTCCAGTGACTTGGTACCTGAGGTATTGATAGAAGGGGATTCCCCTTCCAAACAGTAACTAATCCAATGTCTCTCCTCCTCCAGTCTTCCATACACTAAGAAGAATCGCCAATAAAGGTAAGTGTTATGCTGTTAATGTTTCATTAATCATTTCCCATTGTATTGTTTATGTACTACATCTATATTTCATGTAAAAATATTTTTTGTTTTAATACTTCTGGGTGTCAGGAACGGATTAACTGTATTTACATTATTTCTTATGGGGAAAATTGATTCAAAAATCGTCTTTTTCGATAACCGTCGCACTTCCAGGAACGGATTAACGACGATAAATGAGGGACCACTGTATTTCATACAGAGTATTTGTGTCTAAACAACAACTGACCATCAAAGCAAAAGATCTACTATAAAACATCATTATCATACCATAAAAACTGTGAAAATTAAAAATGGAAAAAAATGATAAATACATAGAATTCCTGCAAGCGGCAGCACTTCATGTTGCCATCAGGTGAGCGACAATCGCCGACTTTGTGGCCTTATATCTCCGTAAGTACTGACTAAAATTTTTTCTTACATAACTTTATGCAAAAATAATGTCCCCTTCATTTAAAAAAAAAAAAAAAAATTCAAAATATTCGGAGCACTGGGCAAGAGAACGAAGAGCTATGTTTGGATAGTTAAGGGGTTAAGAAAGCAAAAGGCTTGACAAGCAGTGCAGTGCAACATCCCCCCAATGAAAAACAGGGGCTCCATGAGTACACTAAGAGAAAATACAATAAGTGTTAGGGGCCCAAGACTTATCAACTGCCTCCCAGCATACACAGGGCGATTACCAATAGACCCCTGGCTGTCTTGAAGAGGGAGCTGGACAGGCACCTAAAGTCAGTACCAAGCTGTGGTTCGTACGTCGGTTTCCGTGTGGTTAGCAGTAACAGCCTGGTTTATCAGGCCCTGATCCACTGTGAGGCCTAGTCATAGACCAGGCTACAGGGGCATTGACCCCTGGAACACCCTCCAGGTATACTTCAGGTAAGTGCTCCTCGATTTATGATGGGGGTTACATTCAATGAACCCACCGTAAGTTGAAAATAGCCTATGTCAAATATGAATACAGTGGTACCTCCTAGGAGGAGGTACCACTGTAGCCATTGGCTGGTAGACCTAGTTAGTAGGTTGGTAGACAGGAACCGCTGAGGAAGGTACTACAATCCTGCCAAGTGAGTGTAAAATGAAAGCCTGTAATTGTATTACATGATGGTATGATTGCTGGTGTCTTTTTTCTGTCTCATAAACATGCAAGATTTCAGGTACATCTTGCTACTTCTACTTACACTTAGGTTACACTACACTTGCATGTACAAGCATATGTATATATATAAACACCCTTCTGGGTTTTCTATTTTCTTGCTAGTTCTTGTTCTTATTTCCTCTTATCTCCATGGGGAAGTGGAACAGAATTCTTCCTCCATAAGCCATGCATGTTGTAAGAGTTAAAAAGAGAAACTTTTGTTTTTCTTTTTGGGCCACCCTGTCACGGTGGGAAACAGCCAATTTGTTGAAAGAAAAAGAAGTGGTACCTCAATATTCGAACTTAATGCATTCCAAGAGACTGTTCAAATAGTGAGTTGTACAAATACTGAATCAATTTTTCCCAAAAGAAATAATGTAAATTGGATTAATCCATTTTTCATTAATCCACACTAACAAACGTTTTTCCATTTCTTCAATTATCTGTGGCCTTTTCACAGCAAGAATTTTCACTCCTCTCACCACATCAACCCCTTTCATTGCCTCTTTATTTTTCAATAAGGATGATATGGTGGATTTTGCCATACCATATTGAGTGTCCAGGTCTGATAAACATGTTCCACTTTCCCACTTCACAATGAGTTCTTTTTTCACTTTAATTGTTGTTCTCACTGCTTTCCTTTTAGGCTTGTTTGGCTCACTACTCTTTTTTGGGGCCATGATTACTTATTTTCAATGAAAATATTTAAAAAAAAGCACACAGAAAAACAATGAAATACCAAAAAGTTTCATGGAGAAATGTTAACAAACAAAAGCTGACAAGAGACTAAGCAAGTGATGCTTTGTTTTCATCCAGATGGATCGTTTTGTTTAGGTCGAATATCACGGCTACGTCCGAATACCAAGTCAAACTTTTCTCGAAAAAGTTGAGAGAATATCAAGTTGTACAAACACATGGGCATACGAATATTGAGGTTCCCTGCATAAGAAAATAAGAAAATAAATAATACATCACTAAATTTAAGTAAATAAACAAATAACACGTAATTTCATGCACTGGTCAGGAGGTAAAACCATCTTTTGGGAGTGAAAAAGCAGAATGTAAGTGTGGGGGGGTTTACATGAGGCATTAGTAAATTGAAAGGGGGAAAAGGGCAGCTGGAATTTGATGGGATAAATGACAAAAAAAGTTAAAAGAGGGGGCGATATAGTGTTGTAGGGGGTTGGTACTTTTGTTTAACCCTTTGACTGTTTCAGGCCCTCTTGAAACTGTCATTCTATGTCGCTCATTTTAAAAAAAAAAAATATTTTCTATGAAATGATAGAGAAATCTTTTCCGATGGTAAGGGACACCAAAAGTTCAAATTTGGTCGAAAAATCAGGGAATTATGCTCCCGCGATTTAGCAGTCTCGGCGACATAAGCGAATTGGCGTTTCGCTACTTTGAGCCTATTTTCAGCAATTCCATTGTTCCAGTTGCCAAACCATAGAAATTCTTTACAAACTCTTTTTATCTATCAGCTGAGTATGAGAAACTCCCATTTACTAATTTGGACTACCAATATGGGGTGCAGAAATTGGGAATTTGGCCAATTTCACGCAAACTAAAAAGATGCCAATTTCAAAAAAGGCCAGAATAAACAAGGTAGACATTCTTTGGCACTAAAATAACATTGCTCTTTCTAGCACATCTCTAGGCCCCTCTTACATTATTTATTGCTTCTATTTTGATTTTATATTCATACAAAAAAATACAAAATTTACTTTTTGCAGACTACGGATTTTTGAAAAAGGTATAAAAAATATAATCGGTGCACTAGTGAAAGAATATTAGACTCCTCAGTTTGACGTGTATTGGATGTGTGGTGTTGATTTTTTACTCCTGAACATGTTAAAAATCGAACATTCCGCTTCTTTGAGCTCAGTTTCAAGGTCGTTTATCGTCAAAATAATGAAAATCATCCCATTTCGTAAATGTTTCCCAAATTTTATCACCTAAGCCCATGAAAACGCGAATACACGATAAATACTAAACGAAAATAACTCAAAGTCGGCGTTTATTCCAAAAAAAAACGATCAGTTTTTTTTCTCATTACGAAATTTGTGTGCTGCAGGATTTTTTATGTGTTGCACACTGACCACACAGACCCATTCTTCAATGTGGGGCCCCAACTTTCTCCCGCTTGATTTGAAGCCGCTAGAATTATTGGAGTATTTTAAAACGGTCAGAAACAATGGCTCGTAAGACGTATTTAAAGTGGGAAAAACAGTTTCAAAGGGTTAAAAAATTTGTATGAAAGAGGGGAAGGTACCTGGGGATTGGTTGGAGAGCATGTATAGCCTTTATATAAAGGGAAGGGGGACAAAAGAGACAGTAAAAATTTTGAGGAAATAAGTTTTACTGAGTATACCGGAAAGTGTACAGTAGGGTTTAATTGAAAGAATTAGAGGTAAGACAGAATGTAGGATTGTGGATGAGCAAGGAGGGTTTCAGATGGGTAGGGGATTTTGAGATAATGTTTACATTGAAGCATATATGTGAACAGTATTTAGATAAAAGGTAGGGAAGTTTTTTTGCATTAATGATTTAGAAAAGGCATATGATAGAGTGGATAGAGGAGAATGTGGCAGTTGTTGCAAGTAAAATGGAAAGGTGGTAAGTTATTAAATGCTGTAAAGAGTTTTTATGAGGATAGTGAGGCTCAGGTTAGGGTGTGAAAAAGAGAGGGAACTACTTCCCGATAAAAGTAGGTCTTAGACAGGAATGTGTAATGTCACCATGGTTGTTTAAATATTTATAGAGGGGGGTTGTAAAAGAAGTAAATGCTAGGGTGTTGGGGAGGGGGGTGGATGATGATGAAAAATTTTTTCTGTTTGGGTTATAGGGGTGGGGGCAGGAGGAAAGAGGAGTTGATTGGTGGAATGATGAAGTAAAGGGTGTGATAAAAAGAGAAAAAGGTAGCTTACGAGAGGTTTTTACAAAGCAGAATTTGTTATAAGAAGAGCGGTATATTGAGAGTAAAAGAAAGGTGAAGAGAGTGGTGAGAGAGTGCAAAAGGAGAGCAGATGAAGAGTGGGAGGGGCACTGTCAAGAAATTTTAATGAAAATAAGAAAAAATTTTGGAGAGAGTTAAACAAGTTAAGAAAGCCTGGGGAAAGTATGGATTTGTCCATTAAAAAAACAGAGTAGGGAGTTAGTAGATGGGGAGAGGGAGGTATTAGGTAGATGGCGAATATTTTGAGGAACTTTTAAATGTTTGAGGAAGAAAGGGAGGCGGTAATTTCATGCACTGGCCAGGGAAGTATACCATCTTTTAGGAGTGAAGAAGAGCAGAATGTAAGTGTGGTGGAGGTACGTGAGGCATTACGTACAATGAAAGGGGGTAAAGCAGCTGGAACTGATGGGATCATGACAGAAATGTTAAAAGCAGGGGGGGATATAGTGTTGGAGTGGTTGGTACTTTTGTTTAATAAATGTATGAAAGAGGGGAAGGTACCTAGGGATTGGCAGAGAGCATGTATAGTCCCTTTATATAAAGGGAAAGGGGACAAAAGGGATTGTAAAAATTATAGAGGAATAAGTTTACTGCTTGTAGGTAGTAGGTTGGTAGACAGCAACCACCCAGGGAAGTACTACCGTCCTGCCAGATGACTGTGAAACAAAAACCTGTAACTGTTTTGCATGATGGTAGGATTGCTGGTTTCTTTTTCTGTCTCATAAACACGCTAAGATAACAGGGATATCTTGCTACTCCTACTTACACTTTGGTCACACTTCACAGACACGCACATGCATATATATATATACATACATCTAGGTTTTTCTCCTTTTTCTAAATAGCTCTTGTTCTTTTTTATTTCTTCTATTGTCCATGGGGAAGTGGAAAAGAATCTTTCCTCCGTAAGCCATGCGTGTCGTTGAGGCGACTAAAATGCCGGGAGCAATGGGCTAGTAACCCCTTCTCCTGTATACAATTACAAAAAAAGAGAAGAAGAAAAACTTTATAAAACTGGGTTGCTTAAATGTGCGTGGATGTAGTGCGGATGACAAGAAACCAGATGATTGTTGATGTTATGAATGAAAAGAAGTTGGATGTCCTGGCCCTAAGCAAAAACAAAGCTGAAGGGGGTAGGAGAGTTTCAGTGGGGGAAAATAAATGGGATTAAATCTGGAGTATCTGAGAGGTTAGAGCAAAGGAAGGGGTAGCAGTAATGTTAAATGATCAGTTATGGAAGGAGAAAAGAAAAATATGAATGTGTAAATTCAAGAATTATGTGGATTAAAGTAAAGGTTGGATGCGAGAAGTGGGTCATAAAAAGCGTGTATGCACCTGGAGAAGAGAGGAATGCAGAGGAGAGAGAGGTTTTTGGGAGATGTTAAGTGAATGTATAGGAGCCTTTAAACCCAAGTGAGAGAGTAATTGTGGTAGGGGACTTGAATGCTAAAGTAGGAGAAACTTTTAGAGAGGGTGTGGTAGGTAAGTTTGGGGTGCCAGGTGTAAATGATAATGGGACCCCCTTTGATTGAACTTTGTATAGAAAGGGGTTTAGTTATAGGAAATACATATTTTAAGAAAAAGAGGATAAATAAGTATACACGATATGATGTAGGGCGAAAAAGACAGTAGTTTGTTGGATTATGTATTGGTAGATAAAAGACTGTTGAGTAGACTTCAGGATGTACATGTTTATAGAGGGGCCACAGATATATCAGATCACTTTCTAGTTGTAGCTACACTGAGAGTAAAAGGTAGATGGGATACAAGGAGAATAGAAGCATCAGGAAGAGAGAAAGGGGAAGGTTTATAAACTAAAAGAGGAGGCAGTTTAGGGTAAGATATAAAAAAGCTATTGGAGGATAGTGGGCTAATGAGAGCATAGGCAATGGGGTCGAAGAGGTATGGGGGAGTTTAAAAAATGTAGTGTTAGAGTGTTCAGCAAAGTTTGTGGTTACAGGAAAGTGGGTGGGAGGAGGGAAGAGAAGCGATTGGTTTGGGAAAGATGATGTAAAGAGAGTAGTAAGGGAGAAAAAGTTAGCATATGAAAGTTTTTACAAAGTAGAAGTGATTTCAAGGAGGGAAGCGTATATGGAGAAAAAGAGAGAAGTTAAGAGAGTGGTGAAGCAATGTAAAAAGAGAGCAAATGAGAGAGTGGGTGAGATGTTATCAAAATTTTGTTGAAAATAAGAAAAAGTTTTGGAGTGAGATTAAAGTTAAGAAAGCCTAGAGAACAAATGGATTTGTCAGTTAAAAATAGGAGAGGAGAGTTATTAAATGGAAGTTAGAGGTTTTTGGGAAGATGGAAGGAATATTTTGAGGAATTGTTAAATGTTGATGAAGATAGGGAAGCTGTGATTTCGTGTATAGGGCAAGGAGGAATAACATCTTGTAGGGGTGAGGAAGAGCCAGTTGTGAGTGTGGGGGAAGTTCGTGAGGCAGTAGGTAAAATGAAAGGGGGTAAGGCAGCCGGGATTGTGGGATAAAGATAGAAATGTTAAAAGCAGGTGGGGATATAGTTTTGGAGTGGTTGGTGCAATTATTTAAAATGTATGGAAGAGGGTAAGGTACCTAGGGATTGGCAGAGAGCATGCATAGTTCCTTTGTATAAAGGCAAAGGGGATAAAAGAGAGTGCAAAATTATAGGGGGATAAGTCTGTTGAGTGTACCTGGTAAAGTGTATGGTAGAGTTATAATTGAAAGAATTAAGAGTAGACGGAGAATAGGATAGCAGATGAACAAGGAGGCTTTAGGAAAGGTAGGGGGGGTGTGGACCAGGTGTTTACAGTGAAAATTTAAGTGAACAGTATTTAGATAAAGGCCCAAAGAGGTCTTTGTGGCATTTATGGATTTGGAAAAGGCGTATGACAGGGTGGATAGGGGGGCAATGTGGCAGATGTTGCAAGTGTATGGTGTAGGAGGGTAGGTTTACTGAAAGCAGTGAAGAGTTTTTACGAGGATAGTGAGGCTCAATTAGAGTATG